AATATACAAAGTAAATATCAGTTACATATCGCATTGATCTGGGCATATTTTCTTCTTTTGCTTTTTTTTTTTTTATCAACCCCGTCAAATAATGCCCATAGCTACCAACTGAAGGCTAAACAATATACCATGGACATGGAACACACAGAGACACATTTAACATCCTGTTACTAGTACTGTACAAGAGCACTAGAGTACTGCCTTCTTGTAGTACAGTATGTGGCAAGTCTTCTAATATGTTGTACATACTTAATATATCACTCGTAGCCCTCCCTGATATTCCCCCTCCCCCCACTCGAAGCCCTCCCTGATCTTCCCCTCCCCCCACTACCTGATCTTCCCCTCCTCCCACTCGTAGCCCTCCCTGATCTTGCCCCCACTCTTACTAGTACTAGTTACTAGTACTGTACAAGAGCACTAGAGTACTGTCTTCTTGTAGTACAGTATGTGGCAAGTCTTCTCATATGTTGTACATACTTAATATATCACTCGTAGCCCTCCCTGATATTCCCCCTCCCCCCACTCGAAGCCCTCCCTGATCTTCCCCTCCCCCCACTACCTAATCTTCCCCTCCTCCCACTCGTAGCCCTCCCTGATCTTGCCCCCACTCTTAGCCCTCCCTGAAGGGGGCACACCCCAGTTTAGTTTGGGTCTCAATTCGATTCTAGTCATACCCTCAACTCTAGCGACCGTCTCTCTCAGGAAATACCTCTTAAGCCAATGAAGGATATCGCTTGCAAATGAAGGATATCGCTCTATCTACGAGAACAATAGAAGAATTTCAATTTCTTTCACCTCTCACATTTTAGTAAATTTAAGGGGGAAAAAGAATCATTTCAATGAAAAATGATCACTGGCCATTTTCACGTGGAATTAGACCCATCACCCAGAATTTAGCCACCATAATGACTTATATGGTCGGAGAGAGAAAACCCTTATGTATTATATGTATTAAGAAAAGTATAAAGAAAATCCTAACACTGAGATTATCACAATAACCCGTCGCGCGAGGCATAGAGACAGCACCCCCAGAACGCACACAAGGCATATCTAGGTCAAACCGAAGCACCGCGCTCTAGGTGGAAGGACACCCGGAAGTGAACCTCGACATCGACTTTCACCCTCCCTAAACACGCTACTTCTTACACTTTCCAACCATGCTAGTACTTAATACCATTTTGCAGCAGATTATGAGAAATGTAAATTCAAACATGAACCATCGAAACCCCTTCGTCACTTTTTTTCCGGGCACTACATTGGAAGAATTGGTGTGTGCACCGTGATCCTGTCGTGAGCCCTCCCTGATCCTGCCCCCACTCGTAGCCCTCCCGTGATCCTGCCCCCACTGGTAGCCCTCCCGTGATCCTGCCCCCACTGGTA